TCTCTCTCTCTCTCTCACACACACACACACACACACACACAAACACATACACACAACCTGGAATTTACCTGTCAGAGCTACGTTTCATACTTGGTGGACTGATCTCTTCAAATGTCGCAGGAACAAAGATTTCCTCAGAATAGTTTTTTTTCCTCTGAATAGATTTTCTCTGAAAAAATTCTGTCTGCTGTTACGCTGACACTCTACCTTTGCAGCACTGAATTGCAACCACAGTTTCGAAAGCAATTGCTTCCTAGTTTAGTATAGGCCTACCCTTTAGCGAAATTTAAATGCTAATCAGGGATTTTGTACGCGTCCTATTGAGGCATAGAATTAAATAATGATAAATAGCATTTGTATAGCGTAAATATCCAGTCAACAGCAAGCTATACGCGTTTGGCAAACTATGATATTTTTACCCCAGCAGACCTGATAGCATTCCGAAACAATCTAAACTTCCTGGGAAGCATACAGTGCAAGCAGCTATTTAACAGACACCGAAACACTACTGACCCGATCTTTTTCTGTCTTTGGTCAGGTTCTAGCACCTACTGTATATATGTTCCGCGCAATTCACCGATCTGCGCTGCTCGTTTTTAAGATTGTATAATTGGGCGGCCATCTTAAGATTTATAAAAAATTTTTGAAATAATAAAAAAAATAATTCACTTTCATTTTTATTGATTCTTTTATTTTCTTTTGTGAACTTTGAGTTTGATACCTTGCATTGTATCATTCTTGTGAGCTCTTCAGTTTTATACGTTAATTTTAATTTCATATTCTTACACTCTTGAAAACGTATGTGAATGTTCCTTGACGTGAGTAAAAGAATAAAGATGAAAGTGTATTTTAAAAAAATATATATTTCAAAAATACATGTATAAAATATTAACGCAATCTTCAGATTGCCGGCCAATTATACCATCGTTAAAACGCGCAGCGCAATCTTAAGATAGCCGCGCAACCTTATGATCGTAAAAACGCGCAGCGCAATCTTCAGATCGGTAAATTGAGCGGAACATATTATTATACAGTAAGCGTTTCTGGGTACTCATTTACACCTGAATGAAGTGAGGAACATTCGTGTCAAATGCCATTGCCACGGACACAACGTCAGGCTTGAGTCTGCAACCACACGATAAGAAGCCCGGTTGCTCCGACCACAAGATTACCGACGCCATAAAGGAAATAAAATGCGTCTTGTTATGCCGAGCCTATTTTGGACGATACCAAAACTTTCGAGGGATCTAGTAATTTAAGTTCTAAAAATGGTATGGTGAAATAGTATTAGTTTAACGCCCCTATCAACACTGTTAGGGTATTTAAGAGGCGGGACCTCCGAGTTTAACGTTCATCTCGGAAAGGCAAGGACTGCGTCAAATGGGAAATTCGTGTAAAGTGCCTTTCCCAAGGACACAGCCTTGGACCGAGCTGAGGCTCGAACCCCCAAAACCGCAATCTCACGATTACGAGTCCTGTAGCCTACCCACTAAGCTACCGAGGCCACTCCAAGTGCTAAAAAACAAACGATCTAAAGTTCCTGGTAAATCTGGGTTATGTTTCTAACTCACTGAGTACGCGCATTGTGGTCATTCGAGAAAACTTGAAGACACGCTGTTTTGGGGCACTGACAAAAAGAAGGGTAATTTCGTAACTGACAGTGGTATCGGTGTCGGTGCCCTTGTCGTTAAGCTACCGGACCCGTAATAGTGAGATTGCGGGTTTGGGGGTTCGAACCTCAGCTTGGTCAGACTTTGTGTCCTTTGGAAATGCGCTTAACATCAATTTCATATTTGGTTCAGTCCTTTCGGAGATGGACGTTAAACTCGGAGGTCCCGCCTCTTAAATAACCTAATGGTGTTGACAGGGGTGTTAAACCTATCGCATTTCGTTTTCACAGATTTTTCAATTTTGTTTTCTTGATCTGGAACGTAAAGAGGCAGGCAACAACAAGCACACTGTGGAGTATGACAAACTTAACGTTTCTGATTTGTGTATAATAAATTAATGGTTTGAAATTTAGCATTGCTGCATGTTGCTGTTAGGATATATTAAAATTTAGGTGTCGGCTACATTGTTTTTCGTTCACATGCCCAAACCTGGCAGTTTTTAGTAATTTCATCCGGTTTCCTTTTTCTTGCACTGTGCAGTTATCGTATTGATGTTTGATGACGACTTTCGGCACTTTATGACCTTATTGTGTAGCAAGTGCCATAAAACTCTTACTTAAACTAGATGACGACTAACCTCATTTTCTACATCGGAATACTTAACCCCAAAACCCTATGGAGCGGTGCCATGTAGGAATGTC